GTGAAGGGCACAAAGAGCTAAAATTTTGGACATTTGGGGCTAATTTTCAGTACTCTGGTGAAATGTAGCTATTATGGAGAATTATTTGTTGGTGAAAACATTTGCATTCTTCATAGTTTGGAGCACAGTTTCATTTACAAGTATTTTTTCCTTTGATTCTTTGGGCAGGCAAGGGAAACTGTTTTGAGTCTCTCCTGACTTTAAACACTTGTATATGTTTAGTAATTCAAAGTAAGCTAGGAGATAGTCTGGGCATATACACAGAGATTTTTTATTTATTTATTTATTTATTTATCTATCTATTTATTTATATTTTTAAAAGATTTTATTTATTCATGAGAGAGGCAGAGACGTAGGCAGAGGGAGAAGCAGGCTCCTTGCAGGGAGCCTATGTGAGACTCGATCAAGGACCCCAGGATCACTCCCTGAGCCAAAGGCAGATGCCCAACTGCTGAGCTACCCAGGCATGCCCAGAGTCTTTTTTTTTTTTTAAGGCCTTATTTATTTGAGAGAGAGAGAGCAAGTATGAGCAGGGGGAGGGGCAAAGGGAGAGGGAGAAGCAGACTCCCCAACTGAGCAGGGAGCCTGATAACTGTGGATGGCTGGATCCCAGGACCCCGGGATCATGACCTGAGCCGAAGGCAGACGCTTAACTGACTGACCCATCCAAGCATTCTGGGTACCTTATTGCTGAGATACTTCAAGGACACAGATACCACAGGGTATGCTAGAGAAGAATGAACAGGCTTGTGTTCATGACATCAGGACTCTCGAAGGAGTTCTTTTTGCTTCATTGGAGTGACATTGGGGCTGTCAGCAAAGTGGAGATGGCCTCTCATGGACTTGACCTCCATCCCAACCACTCCTCACAGGAGCCTCTGTCGTGGTCTGGGAACTTTTAAGGAGCTGAGTGAGCCGGGTCAGTATAGTCCTCAGGAAACAACATTTTGTGGGTAGCACCTAGTTAAATGGGTCATTCAGTTGTCCCTCCTCACTCATAGTGATTGCAGAACCAGAAGAGCTCTTTAGATCGAAAGACAAAGTTGGAAAATACTTTAATACCCCAGCTGAAAGGGTTAGAATAAGAAAAGGTTGTTTGAAGGCTAGGGTGGCTGGCATTTGTTAGATCCCTGCTAGGTGCTTTCCTGTCAGGTTAATTCTGCTCTCAATGGCACAGTGCAGTAGGGGGTCATGTTTATTTTACAAAAGAGAATAAACTCAGATAAGGGACTCACCTCAGACCCAACTTATAGCCCCAATTCAAACTCCAGTCTGCTCTTGCACTCAGACAATTTATACTTTTAAAGGACCAGGCCAGGTCACAGGCAATACTTGAATGGATATTTGATAGGAGGGAGGTAATGGGACTAGAATCTGAAAACCAGAACTAAAGCTGAAACCTACCAGATGTAGTTATGAAAAGCTAGTCTCAGGACCTGTGGGTCAAGGTGATAGAAGCAAAATAACATTGGCAGGAGTCAGTGATTCAGAGTGTGGGTCACCACATTGTACATCTATCCTTCAAAGATGGCCTCTAGTTTAGGGCTTAAAATTGGGTCTCTGTTAGAAGGGAGCATGTTGGAGGGTGGAGAAAAAAAAGGGAGCTATGTTTTCTTAATTGCCTTATGGAGACGAGACTGTCAGTTGCATAGGAATTTCCAGCAAGAAGCCAGATGTGAAAGGGGCCGAGGTCATGTGTCCTAAATAGAGAGCTGCTGAGGATCCAAAACTTTTCAGTGACCTGAAAAATGTCAGTTTCCTTAAAATATTTTAATCTTAAAACATCACCAGGAATGAACTTAAAAATGTACAGGGTCTAGATAAAGAAAACTTTAACATGAAGGACACAGAAGACTTGAACAACTGGAAAGAAAGACCCAAGTTCTTGAACTTGAGCAGCGAGCAACATGATGCTGTCAGCCCTTAAAATTAAAAATTTAATACTATCTCAAAACATACCAATAAGGTTAAAAAACAAAATACTTAAGGTTTCTAGGGGAAAAATATAATAGCGGAGGAGAAAAAGATTGGGCATTTAATTGAAACACATTAAAACACATAAACTATAAAATTGTCATTTTGGTGTGTAAATAGGACAATAGAACAGAAGGTCTAGAAATAGATTCGAACATAAGAATTATGGTAAATGTAGCATCCAGAACCAGTGAGAAAAACATGGATTCTTCAGAAAACAGTGTTGGAACAACTGGGAAACTCTCTAGAGAAAGGAACGTTGGCTCTGTATCTCATACCATAAGCCAATATATATATATATCTCAAAATGTGTAAATGAACAAATGACAGAAATGGGAGCAATTCATTTAAAACCTGTGGGGTGGGGGTGAGGAGGCCTTTCTAACTTGGATCCTAAATCCAGGAGTCATAATTGAAGACTGATAAATTCTATGTGAAACAAAAAATTCAAAAACTTCTTTAAGGCCAAAACCATCATAAGCCAAGTCAAATTCTATAGACTACATAAAAAGCTCATCTCTAAAGGCTAATCCTCCTAAAATATAAAGAGCTCCTGGAAGCTGGTATGAAAAAGAACAACTGCCTGATAGAGAAATGAGCAAAGTAAATACAAATAGCACTCAATTTCATTCATGTAAGAGAAAAGTGAATTAAAGAATGGTATTTTTTACTCAGTCAAATTGGCAAAGGGGCACCTGAGTGGCTCAGTCAGTTAAGCGTCGGCTCAGGTCATGATTTTAGGGTCCTGGGATTGTGCCCAGGATAGGGCACCCTGCTCAGTGGGGAGTTGGCTTCTCCCTCTGCCCCTCCCCCTGCTCATGTGCACTCTCTCACACAAAAAGAAAAGTTTTTTTAAAAATTGGCAAAAATCCTAGTATTTAACACACCATGTTAGCAAGGCCGTGGGAAAGCAGGCATTCGTAGCACATTGTTGTGGGAGTGTAAATTGATATAACCTCTCTGAAGAGCAATTTGGTAATACGTATCTAAATTTTAAATGCACATATCAAAAAAATAAAATAAAATGCACATATCCGGGAATCCCGGGTGGCTCAGCGGTTTGGCGCCTGCCTTCGGCCCAGGGCATGATCCTGGAGTCCCGGGATCGAGTACCACGTTGGGCTCCCTGCATGGAGCCTGCTTCTCCCTCTGCCTGTGTCTCTCATTAATAAATAAAATCTTTAAAAAAAATAAAAATAAAATGCACATATCCTTTGACTAGCACTTCCATTTTGCACTGCGCAAGTCATCCTGTGCCTATTTCTTCATGTATAAAATGGATAATTCTACCTCATAGGGTTGTTATGAGAGTTAAATTAGATGACACACATTAAGAACTTAGTACAAAGTGCCTGGCACATAGGAAGTGCTCCAAAAAATGTGAGTAATGTCATAGCAGCTAATGCACATTGAATTCTTAAACACATGCCACATGACTACACTGTGCTTGGTGCTTTTCATGTACTACCTCATTTAATCCTCCAACTCTGTGACTCTACCAGTTAGCCTCAGAATTCTGAGAGGCAGAGCTGTGAAGTGGGTCGTCCAGCAGGATTCAAGCAGGGTTGACTCTAAGGCCTGCAATACATTGCCTATTAGGTGCAGTGGGGTGATGAACGCCTTAATGGATGGTGTGTGGAGCAGTGGAGAAACACAGATAGGCAAGCACATAGCCCCCTGTGTACGACACTATACCCAAGGGGCCATATTTGGTTTTTGAGGGAAGACGTGGCTTTTAGTGAAGGGTCTGCCACTTTCAAGTTGTGTAACTTTGGGGCAGGGACGCTCAGTTTTGGTATGTTTCGCTTTGATCTACTCTTGGTCCATCTACTGATCTGTAAAACTGGGGTATTACCTATTTCAAGTCTGGTTGAAGGATTAAGAGAAAAACACAGCTAGGCATTCAGGTCTTAACAATTCATGCTTGCTGATGTGAACAGAAGCACATGGGGTGGCAGCAAGAGGGGGAAAGCATTCTAAGAAAAGGGAACAGCACATTCCAAAGCCACAGATCCAAAAACAGCTTGAGGAATCCAGGAGAGCGAAGGAGTGAGGTGGCTGATGGCCTTGGACTATTTGATAATAAAGGCAGGAGCCACTGTTCGTTGAGGGTCTGCTCTTAATTATTTCCATCAAAACTACTGCAGCAAGGTAGGTTTAATAAACCCAACTGTACACAAAAGGAACGTGCCAGGAGCTACAGAAGAGGTGTAGGTGGGGAAGTGACTTGATCAGTTGTGATTTTAGAACCCTTGGACCGGGGATCCCTGGGTAGCGCAGCGGTTTAGCGCCTGCCTTTGGCCCAGGGCGCGATCCTGGAGACCCGGGATCGAATCCCACGTCGGGCTCCCCGTGCATGGAGCCTGCTTCTCCCTCTGCCTGTGTCTCTGCACCCCCCCCCCTCTGTGTGTGACCATCATGAATAAATAAAAATTAAAAAGAAAAACAACCCTTGGACCGTGTGCTGGAAGAGGCCTGTCTTGAATTCCACACGTTAAAAGCAGTAATAAGATTTACCATCTTTTCATTTGCTCCACAATCATATTCACTGTACCACACATATGAAAAATATAAGGAAATTGAGAGATATAAAAAATTGTTAATTCCACCTTCCAGAGACATCCCAATTGATACTTTCCCTTTTTTTTTTTCCCTCTCTCTCTCTGCAAAAAATATGTAGTCATTAGAATGCCTTTTAGGTAGAAGATGGGGAGAGGCCAATGTTAAAACGCTCTCGATACTCCCTCTTTTTTTTTAATTCATTTTTATTGGAGTTCAATTTGCCAACATCTAGCATAACCCCCAGCGCTCATCCCATCCAGTGCCCCCCTCAGTGCCCGTCGCCCAGTCACCCCCGCCCCCGCCCGCCTCCCCTTCCACCACCGCACCAGAGGCGAGTCCTCCGGCCTCCTCGCCTCGACCCTCGCTCGCCTCAGGTTGGTCCCTAGAGGGCGCTGCCGAAAGCCCCGACGCGGAAGGAAGGTGACGCAAAAACGAGTTTAATTTGGGCCCCGCCGCTGCCCGTAGCCGGCGTCCTCAACATGGCGGCTCCCCAAGATGTCCACGTCCGTATCTGTAACCAAGAGATCGTCAAGTTCGACCTGGAGGTGAAGGCGCTTATCCAGGTACTAATTCCCGGGACGGCTGCCGGGCCCTGTAGCCCTGAACCCAGGCTCCACTGGCCTCCTGTGAGCTCGGCGGTCTCAAGTCTGGGAGGTCGCTGGTCCCACCCCACGGCCCGCTACCCCCTGGCGGCCCCCTCTGGTCTCGTCTCCTGGGCCGTTGGCGTTGATCCTCCCTCCGCGGGCTGTTGTCTTGCCCTCTGAACGCTCCCCGTCCCCTCGCCCTGGCCAGGCTTCCGGTCTGTGGCCACACGGGTCGCTCCCGCACACTTGTCGACTGGGACGACCTGACGCCTCGACGGGCCCCTCACGCCTCCCTCCGCCGCCCCGGCGGAGGTGCCCCAGGGCACCAAGGGCGCCCTCGTGCGGGAGGCCCCCGGCAACCTAGATTGTAGCTGCGACTTTGTAAATGAGGAAAAAGCCTAGAATGCCAAGGTCTGAATCAGACGGCAGGTGGTGGTGGCAAGACTGCGACCGGACAGGGAAAGTCAGCCTAGACGAGGGACTTAGGGGGTCTCTGAAACTTGGTTTAACAGATGGGGTACCGGACCCTCCTTGCCTCGAGCCACTTAAGGGTAGAAGGCCGCAGAGCAATAACCGCTTGGCCTAGGCAAGAGTTAGGAAAGTAGAAATGGTTCCTTGAATTTAGCAAAACGAAACCAAGAGTTTTAAACTCTTTATTAGTAGTTTTATTCTTTTTAAGGTTTTATTTATTTATTCATGACAGACAGAGAGAGAGAGAGAGAGAGAGAAAGAGAGAGATACCGGCAGAGGGAGAAGCAGGCGAGCCCGACGCGGGACTCGAGCCTGGGTCTCCCTGGGCCCAAGGCAGGCGCTAAATCGCTGAGCCACCCAGGGATCCCCTAAACCTTGGCTTTAGGCAAGTCATTTCCTCCGTTTCCAAAAATGTTCCTAAGCATTAGATGTAGACTCAGATTTTGCAACTAGCTGTGGCAAAAAGTGAAGGAAAGTAGGACTCTCCGTGGAGACCAGATGCAGAATAAACCAAAGTAGTGCTTTATCGTGGTACAAGGAAGTGTGGTTTAATGAGTAAGTCAGAGAACAGATGAGAAAACTTGATGCAAACTGTTAAACTTCTTCAACTACACTTATTCATACACATTGCAAAACTTCTGGGCTGACTTTAAGAAAATAAATTTAGGATTCATATAAAAAGATTGCCTTTTCACATAATCTAAATTGCTTAAGCCCTTCTGTACTCTCTAATATTGGGGTTCTCATGATATACCTAGATATACTGTGCTCTTACTGTGTTCCAGCTCTTTTGCAACATACTTTGCATACGTACGTGGTCTATGTGGTAGGTAATGTGATGAGAAAAGTGAGGCACAGAGAACTCGAGTGACTTTTTGTTATCCAGCCAATAAATTGCTGCAGCTGGAGTTTGCATCTACATATTTTGGCTCTGGAGCCTGCTCTAAAATCTGACCCCAGTAATTTTGAATGTCCAGAAACAAATTCTAAATCTACCCTTGAACAGGTCTGTAAACACTGTGATTGTAATAGATGATTGAAGATGATTGAAGTTAACCTTGCCATATGATGCCAGGAATTGAGCATCCTGATTTTCAAGTTGTATCACTTTTGGATGTCCATTCTTGTTGGACATATGATCTGCTTTAAGCCTTTTATACTGACTAGGTGGCATTTTGTTAAACTTTAGGAACTAATAGGACAGTTGTGTTTCTTTTTATGCTTTTATAGTACCTGCTCAAAATTAAAGAGGTTATGAGAGAAATGTAAATGATAATGTTTTTGCTCGTGTTGCAGAGGTAAACAGCAAAGATCAGGATGAATTACAGACAGTAGGCCAGCCTAGTGGTGGTTCAAGCCAACTCCCCCTGTACAGGTGGTTTCATTTCATGTCATTTGCCTCAAGAAAGGCCCCTTCACCTCTTCACTGTCTCCTAGGATATTCGAGATTGTTCAGGACCATTAAGTGCACTTACTGAACTGAATACTAAAGTGAAAGAGAAGTTTCAGCAGTTGCGGCACAGAATACAGGTGAGTAGCTGTAGAACTGAGATGGGGAGAATGGGTGACAATGAGGAGGCTCTATCCTGGGAGTAACCTCTGCTTGAGAGCTGTCCAGGTTCTTTAGTAAATGTTTTGACAGTGAGGGTAACTGTACTAACATGCTCTCAAGATAAAAGTGAGGAACTTTTGAATGTATCACCGGTGTCTCCTGGGTTTTTGTTTTTTTTTTTCATGCTATGCTTTGCCTAGTCTCTTCCTACCTGTTCCTGAAGTCTCTAGTCACTTCATATGCACATATAACACTCCTGAATCCAACTATGGTATAGGTGCTATCTCAAAAACCACTGGAGTGAGAAGTACCCATTTGTATAGCCTGTTTCTGCTGCTGTGCCCTAGTGAGAATGAGATGGGTGCATGGATCTGCCCATCACTGGGTGGGTCCTGGGGCACCCCATCTCAACTGCTTATGATATTAGGATTAAAGACCAGATGCCAACCAACAGCCCTTTTTGTTGCTTAACAGAAGATAGTCTGTTTCAAAGCTGGAAGAAAAACTGGCCATTTGGACCCCCTGAGAAGTAGTATGTCTGGGTCCCATGTGTTGCCTTTCTAATGGATTTTCAAGGGCAATTGTGAAAATAAGCAGTTCTTGTCATAGAAGTTCACTTTAGAATTTTAGCAATATCACTGAATCTAGCTGATCTTTTTGCCTCCATCTCTAGCACTGATTTAATCATTTAATTTTTTTGAAAGGCTATTACTTTCATATATTACGTATTTATCATATCTATGTGTGTAAATATGGGCGCACAGTGAAAAGTCTCACGTACCAGTCTTACTCTGTTTCCCTCCTCCCCACAAGTAACCACCTTTGTTACTTACGTATCTTTCTGTGGTATATGTACTCAGATAATAGAAAAAATAAATATATTTTCCTATTTCCAATTTCTCATCTAAAAGGTAGCACATAAAACACCACTTTTTAAAACTTAATATCTATTGGAAATGCTTCCATATCAGTATTTCTTTTTAAGATTTTATTTATTTATTCATGAGAGACACAGGGAGAGAGGTAGAGACACAGTCAGAGAGAGAAGCAGGCTCCATGCAGGGAGCCCGATGTGGGACTTGATCCCGGGACTCCAGGATCAGGCCCTGGGCTGAAGGTGGTGCTAAACTGCTGAGCCACTTGGGCTGCTCCCATTTCAGTATTAGAGAGTTTCCTCATTCTTTTTTTATAGCCATAATTTTTTTTTTTAGCCAGTTCTGTATCAAAGGGCATTTTATTTGGATTGCTTCTCTGCTTTTTGATTTTATTTTATTTTTTTTTTGCTTTGCTTTTTAAAGCTAATGTATTCCCTAAAAGGTCTTTCTTCAACTCACATGACTTCAACTCTCCAACCACACCCACCACCTTAAGTATTTCCATGTTCTTTTTGTTTAAGTATCTAGGTGCTGACTCGTTGTTTATTTCCTTCACTAATTGAAATTACTCCACTGATATATTTACATATTAGGTCCCTCTCTCCCATCATCACCTCCTTGAGCACCAGAATATCCCTGACACCAATTAAGGACCTAAAAACACATGATTAGTGAATGAATAACCCCATCCCAGTTTTAATCTGCACTTCCTTAACATTTATACCAGGAAACGTATACAAGATTTCTTTTTGATGTTTTTAGCTCTTTATGTGAATGACTTCTTTGTGTATTTGCAACGAGATTGTGTGGTACTCAGAGACTTGGCCTCATATCTTTAGTATATAATCTCTGCATTGTAAATGTTGGGCATTGACTATGTATAAATACCTGTGTAAATGTCTTTGTGTATGTGGTGCTCCAACTGGAATTTGAGAACTATTTTACCCCTTTCTTTTCTTCTGGAACTATCTGGGTCTCTATGACAGAATTTCTAGGCAACCTTTTATGAGGAATCTATATACCTTTCTTCCTTCTTTCCTTCCTCCTTCCCTTCTAACCATACATCCATTCTTCTGTTCAATGGTTTGGTGCCTAATAATGTTCTAGGCACAAAGAATATGTATAGTGAACATTAGGTGTAAAATCCTACTTTCCTGGAGTTCACAATCTGGCAAGGAACCTAGATTTTAAATGAATAATTAAGCAAGTAATAAACTGACTACATTTGCAAAATTTTTCCTTCATGTTTTTCTTCTCTCTGTCTCAGAATATCTGGGGCCATTAATTGGAAGTCATCTCTGAGCTGCTGAAATGGTGGATACAGACACATGTTCCTGACCAGCATGTGCAAATTAATATATAAATGAGTATATAAATAAATAAATTAGTATGTAAGTGAACTAATACATTGTTTTAGCATCAGCAGCTTGATTGAAACTGGAAATTGTTTTAATCTGCAAACAAAAAATATGACTTGATTCTTGAGGTGTAATGACATCTTTAGAGTCAATCTGATACTTGCATGATCTGAAGTTCTCAGGGGTCTCACATTGCTGAGCTTATGTCCATTGCCTGGTGTTTGGTTATTTGGGGCTGTGAGCACTCCTCTTTAGCAGACTTTATGTATGGGATTTTTGTGCAACCTGGACTGAAAGCAAGTCTCTTCAGAGGTTTTTGGATTTGCTTTTGCCATATCTCGTGGCATTATAAGTCTGGGAGCACATTTTATGTTAACTTCTCCTCATGGAGATTCTCAGACCTTTCAGAGAGAGTGAATTATAACTCCAGATCAGTTTGAGGGTAGCTCCATGGATATACATTACATTCTCGGGAAATATTTTGTATCCCTCTAGCCAACAAAAAAGGACAAGCTTCCATTCTGTCTGTGCTGGCTGACAGGCATGTACATGACAGGCATGGACACTGAAGGTGTATCCCTTTGTGGGTTCTGGATTTGTGACTTCCAGCCTCAGATAGCTCAACACTTTTTATGCCACCCGTATGTAGGCTTTCAAACCTTCCAACTGTTTGCTACCAGTCAATAATGAAATAGGTACAGAGATTGAGAGTGAGCATTTAGACATGTGTAGCAGTTTGATATTTCCATGATGTCTCAAAGTAGGACCAGGGGCTCCTATTTAGTAATTTTTATTCCCTTTTCATTCCAGGCGGACCCCCTAGATGACAGGAGTGAATCTCCCATTCCAGAGCAGCTGAGCATCAGTCACAGGCTGATTGCTCTGGCTCTCAGTTCACTTCTCACTTTGGGGCCCTGGAGATTATCCTTACTTTCTTGCACATCAGCTATATACTTATGGATGTTTGTTATATTTACCTGACATTCCTGAGTGTTCTCTGTTAGGAGGGTTTTCAAGTGCTATTGTATAACTTGCCTAGAAAGCGGAGTAGTTTGGTTTTTATATTGGCTTTTTTTTTTTTTTTTTGGCTTTTAAAATCATTTTAATATAGAGCTCTTTTCCCCCAAAGGAGCTTGAGCAGTCAGCTAAAGAGCAAGACAAAGAGTCAGAGAAGCAAGTTTTGCTTCAGGAAGTGGAGAATCACAAAAAGCAGATGCTCAGGTAGGTGGGGCCTGCGCTGGGTCACCTGCTCCCTGGGTGGCTTGTATAAAGGTTTGCCTAACAAACCTGGCTTAATGATTTAATTGTGTCATTTCTACACAAACTGAATGTCCTCTCTAGATCAGTAGTTCTCAAAGCAGGGACAAGCACGGGTTTTTGGTAGGTCAAATTGTATATAGTTTACAAAAGCATATTTACCATTATACTATATTTTATATTTTTAGGACAAAACCAAAAAATGATTGCTTTTGTAATACAGCATCTTTTTCTGTAAGGAAATTGCTACCAGAAAAAGTTCCTACTTAAGATGGACCAAAATTTAGAAAGCTTTGAGTGGGACTTTATCTTAAAAAATGAAACAAAAAATGTAAATAAGATTATGCTATGTTAAATAAAGCAGTGGTTATCATTGTAGCAGTGGGCTAACCTTTGGTTATATAATTGAAGTATGCACTATTTCTGGATATTGGGCGGGCTTTTCCAACAAAATTATCTGATGGCATGAAACAGCACCTGTCCCTTCACATGTGACTTTTGTATCATAATCATAAAGAGTGTTGTTGTGACAAAAATATTTAAGGGCTCAAAAAAAAAAATTAAGGGCTCCATCAACTTTCCCCATCGTCTGGTAGCCAGGTCATTCTCTTTTGAAGCCCCTGCTAGTCTTCATCCTCCTAGGTGTTGCTCTTTCTCCTTATTAATTTGCTCTAACTCTGCTGGATCTGTATGTCTCTGGTTTTGCCGTCAATGTGAGTAATTCTCCAGCATCATCCTTGGCAGGCAGCTACTGTGTTTATGACACCCAGCCCTCAGGAGGAGACTGACAAACATGTGGGCATGATAGAGGCTAGTATAAGTAGGGAGGGATGTGTGCATGGTCACCAGTGTTAAAGTGCTTGGCTCAGTCGGAGTACTTTGTATCATGATGGCGTTTGCTTCCCTCAGCCACCAAGGATACTCACATTACAAACGCTGAGTAAAGAGGACCCCTTGTATAAAGTAGAGTAAGTTACACCAGATAAAATGGGCTTAGTTAGCATGGCTAGGAGTTGAGAATGGCCATTCATGATGTAGAGTTACAGGGGAGAGAGAAAGCAGTAGATGAATACTTTGGCAGTTGTGTGTGAAAACAGTAGTTGCGCTTGCCTGGATTCTCATGCTTATCACACCATTCAGCAAATATTTGTTTGTTTGTCTTTCTCCCCAGTAAATGTGAGCCCCTTGAGGGCAGCCACTATGGCTCATTCATCTCTGTGTCACAGGGCCCAGCAGAACTTCCTTGCTAGCAACTAAAATATGTAATTGATTCTTTTAAAATATCAGGTGTGAAATGGCATAGCAGATGCTGTTCTGGTGGCAGAGAGCTCGTTTTACATTTTAAACACAGAGGTACTCTTAGAAAAATACCGTATCAGTTCACGTTTGACTTTGGTAAACATCTCAGGGGTTAGCACAATTGATGTGAACCAGCTGCCTAAGAGTTCTAGTGCTTGAGTTTGATTCTCCTAGGGGCCCAATTAACATTTTTATAGTTCATTGACAAAGGCTGCACTGCTAACCCCAGGGAGCTGTTCATCAAATTTGAGTTGTCTCTCATGAGGGAGATCAGGTAAAGAATGTAAATAAATCACATCAAACTGCTAATACAGTGTGTTTATCTCGCTCATGATTGGTCTGAGTATGTAAAGAACAGCAAATCTTAAAGAAATATGGAGCAAAACCAAAGTGTTAAGTTACTATATTGTACACCTGAAAGTAATATTACACTCACTGTATGTTAACTAACTGGAATTTGTTTTTTGTTTTTTTTTTTTTGAGATTTTATTTATTTATTCATGAGAGAGACAGAGGAGAGAGAGAGGCAGAGACATAGGCAGAGGGAGAAGCAAGTCCATGCAGGAGCCTGATGTGGGACTCGGTCCCAGAACTCCAGGATCATGCCCTGAGCCAAAGGCAGATGCTTTAACCGCTGAGCCACTCAGGAGTCCCACTAACTGGAATTTAAATGAAAACTTAGGGGCACCTGGATGGCTCAGTAGGCTGAACATCCAACCCTTGATTTGGGCTCAGGTTATGACTCAGGGTCCCGAAATCCAGCCCTGTGTTAGGCTCTGTGCTGAGCATGGAGCCTGCTTGAGATTTTTTCTCTCTCTCCCTGTGCCCCTCCCCGTGCTCTCACTCTCTCTCTCGTGCTCTCTCTCCAAAATAAACAAACAAACAAATATATAAATAAATATTTTTTTAAATAAAAACTTAAATATTGAGGAAAACTGCCTTCCTATGATTTTTCTACTTCTCATAATATCTATTGATTGGCTAATGGGCCAGAGACTGTTGTTCTAGGTACTAGTGATCCAAAAATGAGTGAGACATGGTCCTCAAGAAATGGAACCAACTAGTACACAAGGTAGAACGTGGTAAAATGGTAAAACATTAGCAGTAACTGGACAGAACAGGGCCTCAAGTGCCCAAGGCGAGTTTGAAGTCTGAAGCCCTTGCCCGGCTGTAAGCACAGAATTAAGTACTGTGGCCAGACTGCTCCCTCTGGCTGCCCTGGAGGGAAAGGGACAGCTACAGGCGGCTGGGCAGGGTGAGACCAGAGGTGTAGCCTAAGCTGGAGCAGTTGCCGGGGCAACCAAGAGGAGGAAATGGTGGGAGGCAGAGATGGATGACTCTGTAGGCCACTCTGGGAGGCCTTTCCCATCACTCCCTTGCCAGAAGGAAGAACTTCTGTTCTTTGATCTGACAGAAACTCATGCAAGACCCTTCTGATTCCAGCAATCAGACCTCATGGAGGAAGGCTAATCTCACTTGCAAAATTGCTATCGACAATCTAGAGAAAGCAGAACTTCTCCAGGGAGGAGACCTCTTAAGGCAAAGGTATCTGTCTTTTTGTCTTTCTGGGCCCTAATGATAGAACAGATAGCAATTGGCAAGGTGCAAAACCCGTGTAGGGAAGCCCTTCTTGTTTTCAGTGTAAGACTGGTACTTAATTTTATTATATAGGTAATATTTTTTAAAGTATGAAAGAAATACTGGCTTATTTGTAATAAATTGGTAAAATAAAGGTGTCGATGACAAAATGAACTATACTGTGATTGTGTTGCACACATTTTGATATATATTGTGTCTTCCCACCATTTTTTTTTACAAAGTCAGAGTCCTACCGTATATAAAACTTAGCACCCTGCTCTTCTTCACATAGTATTATAGCACAAAGACTTGCTTGTTTTAGAAAACTCTTTAAACAAAGGTTCAAGAGTACTTAGTATTCCCTTGTATTGGCTGATCCCCCAGTTTGTGTGTGTTTGCATTTCTAGTTTGTCAGTATTGTAAACAATACACAAGGGCACACCTTAGGACATAAGGCCTTGTCCACATTTTGGGTATTTCCTTTGTAGAGATTCCCAGGGATGACATTATTGGGCCAAAGGCATGAATGTTTCTAAGGCTCCTAATACTATTTCCAGATTGCTTTATAGAAGGCAGTACCAGTTTGCATTTCTACTAGCAGTTTTTAGGAGTGTGGTGTCAGCATACCCTTGCTGGCATTGACTGTGATTGTTGATACTTAAATATATATGCTATTTTGATAGATTAAAAAAATGGGATCGCATTTGAAGACGGGAGTTGTTTTATAGCCAGCTTTTGTTGACATGCCTATCCCACTCTGGACTTTTAGGAAAACCACCAAAGAGAGCCTGGCCCAGACATCCAGTGCCATCACGGAGAGCCTCATGGGGATCAGCAGAATGATGTCCCAGCAGGTCCAGCAGAGCGAGGAAGCCATGCAGACGCTAGGTAAAGCCAGATCAGGAGTTAGAAACTTCTCCCAGAGACTCCAGTTCCAGAGCCCTTGTCCTGGCACCTGCCACCATGCTCTCCCACCTTTGTCCCCATCCCCACCCTCATCCCCAAACTTACTGACTTGTGTGGCTTCTTACTTCTTCAACACTGTGGTATTGCCCGGGGTGGGATATGTTGCTCTTATTTCTCTTTTTGGTTTTTATAGTTGTACTACAAGATCTGCACACCCCCATCAAAATATTTCCTCAGCAGAAGCACTCCCAAGGTCTCATGTGAAAAGCCGAGATCCCCAGGCCTTCTGGAGAGTAGGTGCTAGTAGGACTCGGGGAAGGGCCTGGCCATCTGTTTTTTTTCCTCTGGAGTTCTGTGGACCCATGTGGCCAGGCAGGTTGGGGAATCATTGCTTGGGAAGATATTTTAGTGTATTGGCTGCTGGCTAGTCTGCAAGGGCCTCAGCTTATAATTAATACTCCCCAGTGTTATTTTTACTGTAAGCTCCTTTTAAAAGATGCAATCAGAGGCCACAAAAGAAGGTGCTTGAGCATCTGGTTCTCTCCAGCAGCTTTCCCATGGTGTCTCCCTTGTGATACAGAAGAGAATTGGCCCTTTTCAGGGTCCTCTGCATAAGAAAACAGAAGAGAGTGTTTACTCTCTGAAATAGTTTTGGAAGATTTATAAAGAGACAAAAGTGTCATGGTACACAGATTGCACGAACCCACCACCCAACTTCAGCAGTTGTCAGTTCATGGCCAGTCTTGTTTCAGCTCCACCCATCCTGTGACCCCATCTGGATTTCTTTGAAACAAATCACAGACATCATCTATAAATATCTCAATATGTCTCTTTAAAAGATAAGAGACTCTTGAAACAAAAAACAAACAGAGCCAAACCACGATACCATTATCACCCCTAAAAAGAATCTGTAATTTTGAGCCACTTTTTTTTTTCAGTGCACTATTCAAACAGGCGGAAGCAAAAGGAGAATAGGCAGCTTGTCCCTAAGGCCAGCCCCTGTGTGTGAAACTTAACTGGGCATTTAGGCTCAAAACCAGCCAGTCACCTCCTCTACATACATGCTGGGGGCAGGACTCAAGCCTTGGGATAGGCCTTGGAGAATGTGCAAAATAGGAGACCACCTAGCCTTTGAGTTGAGGACTTTTCTGCTTTGATGCTGGTGACAGGATTACCCCCCCACACACACATACACATACATACATATCAGAAATAGATGATACAATTAAGTGGTGAGAAGGGTGCACAGATGCTGATGGCTTCTGGAGTGTTGAGGGCTGTTCTTGAGGCCCATTTTGTAGGAGAGAAAGCTGTTAAAGAAGAATGCAGTTCTTAACCCTTTCCTTACAGCTCTCAAATTCAGCTTGATTTAAAAGCCTACTAGGACTACAGTTTTTTTTAAAAAGCATATTAGGGATATGATATCTGGAATTTGCTGGAATTGGGTGGACTAGTATGGGGACAGGAGTGCCAGGGAATTGGTGGTTCTTGGGTGTGGGTGTTGGGCACAAGGCATTTCACAATACTATTCTGTCTACTTTGGTGATGCTTTAAAATTTGCTATAATAGGAAGTTTAAAAAGAAAGACCTATTATATCTTTGTGAACAGGTTCTTAGGTTTTTGGAATGGCAATAGGCATGAAGAAAGGGCCAAGAAAGATTTTTGTTATCTGAGTGTTTATTTTTCCCCCTCATCTGTCTTTATATTATAGATGCTGCTCTGTTTCCTCTGATAATTTCTTTTTACTTACTTATTGACTTTCAATTTTGTGAAAAGGTAATATATATTACATGGTTAAGGAAAAAACCTCCAGGCCTGCATCGTCCAGTAGAAATACAATGTGAGCTACATACTTAACTTTAAATTTTCTAGTAGGCCCATTAAAAAAGGTAAAAAGAAACCTATGAATTTATTTAATCTATTACATACAATATATTACCTTTTCGGTATGCAATTAATATTAAAGACTATTGAGATATTTTGCCTTCGTTTTTTCATACTAAGTCTTTGAAATCATGTGTGTATTTTACACTTACAGACACCTCAGTTTGGTTTAGCCACATATTCTTGCTCAAGTGTCACGTGTGTTTAGGGGCTGTACAGCCCTGGACAGTACAAGAGAGAAATAAAAAGATAGCTCTCTCTTCAGACCTCCCCTTAACCCCTGGCCATCAGGTCTATTCCTCAGGGGCAATCACTGTTATCAGTTTCCTTTATGTCCTTTTGGGATCCTCCACAGATGTATAGCACAAAGCAAATTAAATATCGTTTATCCTCCTCTTTCTTACATAAATGTAATTTTCAATATGGGTTTTCACACCTCACTTTTCCACTTTTCCACTTAACAGCACGTTTTATTCTGTGGATGTTCTGCTATTAGGCTTTGTGGGAGAATCTCGCCAGGTAGACCTATTTATTACCCAAGTGTCAGGCTCAGATACTCATTCTCAGAAGTAAATTTGAATCCTTAATGCACATGTACCTCCCCTTAGATTTCACACAGTGGCCAGAGCATAGATGTGTATCTTTAAAACTGCAACAGTATCCCAGGACTGAAGCACTGATATGTGTGAGGGGTTCTGGCAGGGCCCAGCCCGACTTGTTACAATCCCACGTAGAGCAGATCTGGCTCTCAGGTGTCCTGGCAGTGTACACCTCAGGTGGAAAATCTTGGTAACTCCTAGCTTCTGCCTTCAAAAAAACCTCATAGTGCCTGGCAATAATCACCCAGGTTCATTTTGGGGCTGGTGGTTCTTCTCACCTGTCTACTTTAGAAAACTGAGATTGATGGTCAGGAAAGGAACTCTGTTCTTTTTTCCCTAGTGATGTTCATGTTGGAGAATGCGTAGTAGTGGCCCTATGACATTGTATATAAACCACATCACTCTGAGCTGGATGGGATGTAGGGAGGTGCTTTCCTTATAATATGCTTGTTCTTTGCTCCTCTGGATTATCTCTTTTTACATCTTTGCTTATGGCTGAGGGAGAACTTGCTACAAATTGCAGTGTTTTTTGCTGGTAACCCAGGCAGCAGAGCAAAGTCTTTGGATTTGGTGCTCTACAGTCTCTGAGTCAGGCTCCCTCCCTCTTTTGTTCCAGCCAATTCTTCCCGGACTATCCTGGATGCAAATGAAGAGTTTAAGTCCATGTCAGGGACCATCCAGTTGGGACGGAAGCTTATCACAAAATATAATCGCCGAGAGCTGACGGACAAGCTTCTCATTTTCCTTGCCCTGGCCCTTTTCCTTGCTACGGTCCTCTATATTGTAAAAAAGCGGCTCTTTCCATTTTTGTAAGATCTGAATTTACCAGCTTTGGCCCTTTACACTACAGAGTCAGGATCTGTCCATGCTCCTGAGCTCTCCCCCAGGCTGCCAAACTAGTGTACACCTCTGTGGCCTGCTCCAGTTGCTCAGCAGGTTGATTGCAGACGCAGCCCTCCAGCTTTCTCCAGGCAGCTGGTTGGCCTGTAAAGGGCGAGTAGAACAAGGGGAGGGAGGCCTGTCATTGGGACACCTACAGGACACAGGGACTCCAGGAGCCATCACAGTGCATATGGCTGTCACAAGGGACACACAGAGGCCAGCCTTCAGGATTTAATCCTTCTCTACTTCTGCTGTATCCTTAATGGTAGATCTGGTGGAAGAAGAAAGAAGTGGGGAGACGGTTAAGGAAAACTCATGTCCATTCCTTGAATAAACTTGACTATATTTAATAGAATGAAATGCATGTGGATTTATAAGGTATCCTCCTGGGAATTTGTGTCCTGTTTTTGATGTCCAGATATCTAGGACATGAACTCAGATCATTTATTTGTTCATTCAACAAAGGATTATTAAGCAACAGCCACATGCAATGTATTATAGACACTGCTGACTGTTACAAATACTTGGTAAAGCAGCTGTGGTTCCGCCCTCAGGGAGCAAGAAGAACAAGATCTCATAGGCTCTAAAAAAGCAAATTACAAAAAACCCCCACTGGAGGTGGCTGACACCACATCTGAGAAAGCTCAGGAAGACATCCTTCTCATTCTGTGTACAGTGATGGGCCTGGCTTGGGGATGTGCCATGTCTTGGGGGCTGGCCCGTGTCTTTCTCTTTAGGTCCAGAGCTAAATATAACCATGAGAGTGAGGCTAGTGATAAGCTGAGGCCTGTCTGGGCCTGAGTTCTGTTGAGGCCTGTGGGATACTAGGGCTCAGGCTGGGAGATGTTAGTGTCTCCTTGTGCTATAGGCCTGGCTGGTCTCACACATGAAATCCCAGCCTCCCCACTATTTATAGCCCCAAAGGCCCTGGGAGGTATAATGTGGAGGCAGAGGGGAAAGCAGAAAGAATATGGAATTTGAACCTTGATTTTGAGTCTTGGCTCTATTACTAAGGGACCATGTGACCATGGGCAACTTCCTTTTGTCACTAAGCCTCAGTTTCCCCACCAGTAAAGTGGGAATGATAGTCCATATAGATATTTGTAGAGTCAACATGAGAATCAAACGAGAATGTAAAGGAAAATTACGGCTTCTGTGTGACTGAACAGTGGGCTTCCCAAATGGGGTCACCTCCAGGACTCTGGGCTCTGGGGTTCCCTGCAGCAAACAGGCTTCAGTGAAAGCTGGCCGGGCCATCAGTTCTGTTTAGATCTGTTTGAACAGAGGGTGTCCACTTTAAGACTTTAGTTATGAAGTGCCAGATCGCCATGGGACCAGGTTTGTAAGATATTGGCTGCATACATCAGACTGACTGGTTTCATGAGTAGAATATAAGTTAAAGTGTGTGTGTGTGTGTGTGCGCGCGCGCACGCACACACACACACTTCTATATATACGTATATATATCATCCTTAAACAATTTCTGGCCTCAGAAGGCAATGTAAAATGTGCATGCATGTGTCTTATTTATAGTCAAATTAAAGCTGAGAATAAAGCACAGATGGGAAATTCCCACTCAGATTCCAGCTGTAAGTGCAGCAGATGGATGTTATCAATTTAGGATTTTCTTGTCTTAACATTTTTCTTTACTACTTCCCACTAATTGTCAACATCCTCCTTACAATATGGGAATGTGTGGGCTTTGTACTACTTAAAACATCTCCCTTGACTATTCTTTAACTTGCTTCCTTCTGCAAATAGGTTGAATTTGAAATGTCATCAATAGCGTTGTATCTTGCAACCCCAATCTGCCACCAGGATTCAGTCATCCCCTAGTGGGCTGACTGGGCAGAAAGCAGCCATCTCCATGTTCAACCGTGAGGGGTCAGTGTTCACACTTGCTCTATGGTCTTGCTATGTTTAGGACTCTGTTAGTCTGTATGGAATGCTTTTAAGGATTTTTTTTCCCCAGCTACCAGACTTAAACAAACATAACAAATGTACAAAGCTTACCTATATAGTCTCTGTAAGATGTTTCATAAATGATTTTAATTTTCACTGTTAACAGTAAGGCAAACTTGTATTCTATATTTTGCTTAGATGACAGTCAAGGAGTTAAAAGTATAAAGCAGCTGTCAAGACATCATTCATTCAAGTATTCACTGAGCACCTACTTTGTACCAGGCACTGTGTTGGGTACACTCCGTGAAAAAAACGATTCTCTGTCATCTTGGAACTTACAATATGTGGGGGGAGGGTGGGCAGATGATAAACAATTAACATACTAAATAAGCTATTCATTCTGTTAGAACATAAGTGTTTTAGGGAAAAGTGAAACTGGCTAATAGAGACCTGGGGATAGGTTTGCTATATTAAGTAGGATGGTCAGAGTTGGCCTCATTGAGGAGGTAAGGTCTGAGCAAAGTCTTGTTGGGGAGAAAGATACTTTAGCCATGTGGACTTCTGAGGGAGGAGGGTTCCATGCAGGGGCCAGCTAGAGGTAGTACAAAGGCCTATAGTGGGAGCATCTGTGATACTGTGATTTAGAGTCAGAAATATATATTTCTTGTCCCCGGTCCTGGCACAGAGCTCCTAAGACCTTTGGACTTTCCTGCAATGAGAGTGATAAAGTTTTTTTTTTTTTTTTTTTGTTACATTCCTGAGGCAACTTTTGGAAAGCACCGAGATTGGGGCTGGTTGCCAGTGGATCTCAGAGGAGGGGAGAGGGGCTGGAGATCGAGTTCAGTCACCAATGGCTGGTGATTGCATCAGTCATGCCTGTGTAATGAAGCCTCCCAAAAACCTCCCAAAACCCTAAATCTCCCAGGTTGGTGAGCATGTGGAGATTGAGGGAGGGTGGCACACTTGGAGAGAGCAGGGAAGTTCTGTGTCCTTTCCTCATACCTTGCCCTGACATCTCTTCCATCTGGCTGTTCCTGTGTTATATCCTTTTGTAATAAACTGATAATATAGTAAATACAGTGTTTCCTTCATTTCTGTGAACCTCTCTAGTGAATTAATTAAACCCAGGGAATAGGTGCTCATGGGACCTCCCCCATCTATGGCCTGTTGGTCAGAAGCACCCGTGACAACCTAGACTTGTAAGGGTAACTGAAGTGTGGATGGGGCCACAGTTTTGTGGGACTGAGCTCTTAACCTGTGGGATCTGATGACCAGGTAGACGGTGTCAGAATTGAGTTGAATTATAGGACACCCAGCTAGAATTGCTTGTTGATGTTGGGAATAAACCCATACATCAGAAATGCATGCATGCACTTGAGCATGACAGCTGGGGGAATAGCAAGGAAGCTAGTGTGCTAGAGCAGAGTGTGAGGAGTGGTAGAGAAGTAGCCTGGGAGATCAGACAAAATTACAAAAAGTCTTGTAGGTCATTGGAATGATTGACCTTGTTCTTTGAGGGACATGGGAGCTATTGGAGCAGAGGAGTGACTTGATATGACCTGTGTTGATAACAAAGTGAATGAGACAAGTGCAGAGCAGGGTGGCCAGTTGGGAGGACAGTGGCAGAGGTTGCAGATGATAGTGGCTTATACCTGGCTGAGCTGTAGAGACGATGAGAAGTAGTCATATTCTAGATATATTTTGAAGCTAGAACCAATAGGGATAAGGTTTCTTGAAGGAATGAATATCATTCTTGAAGGAGTGAGAGTTAAAACTATGAAATTCCTTTTTAAAAAATTTATTTTTGAGTAATTTGTACACCCAGAATGGGGCTTGAACTCACAACCCTGAAATCGAGTCGCACGCTCTACCATCTAGTCAGAGCCATCTAGTCTCACTGGCTCTCCAGTGAGCCAGTCTGGTGCTCCAAAACTATGAAATTCTTGGCCTAAGTAACTAAAGGAGGAAGAGATCAAGAGTTGGGTTTTGGACATGTTGAGATATCTTTTAGACCCCCTGGTCAAGATGCCAGGTATGTATGTGGTTATGCGTGAGTTTGGGGTTTGGAGAGCAGTCAGGGCTAGAAGTGTAAATTTGGAAGAGGGCACATAGATGGGATTTAAAGCCATGAAGTTGGATGAGATCACCCAGAGATCTGAGTATAGAAAAAGAAGAAATAATGACAAAAAAGAGGAACCTGCAAATGAGACTGAGGAGGAATGCCCAGAGACAAGAGGAGGCACTCTTACTGGTCAGACTTCTTAGGGAGTCTGTTCTTTTAATCCCCCAAACAGGAGACTTTTTGATCTACAAGAATCTGTGTTTTTCATTATTGACTTCATCGTCATGTCATCATCACTGTCATCATCACCAAAAACATCTATTTGTCAAGTTCCCACTGTGTGTTAGATAACCGAGGACTACACAGACATGTAGTCCCCTGCCCCCCTTGCCTTTAAGGACAGCACAGAATGAAAATTGTGCCTGTGCACTGGCTGCCATAGGGGACCTGTGGAGGGAAGGAGCACCTGGGACAGGACATGGAAGAGTGTGCCTTCCCCATTGAACCCACAGCTCTGTCTTCTTTTTACTGCTCCACTTCTGTGACATGGTCTGTTTCCTCACCTCCCACTTCCCAGTACACTGCACCCTGATTTCTGCTACAGTCACTCTCCCATCAACAAGCACCACTGGGGGCCTCATTTACCTCCAGGCTGCTCATCTGAAGGCTGTTTGCCCCCCTACCCCTACCCCATCCTTAGCAGTTGTTGACCATGGTGGGTATTGATTCCTTCCAGAAACCTCCTGCTTCTGTAAAACCATACTCTTAGTTTTCCTCTTAATCTCTGGCAAGTCTTGCTCATTCTTCTTTTTAAATCTTCAGCCTTAAGTGCTGGCTTATTAGAGCTTCTTCCCTCTTTTCTTTGTATATATTCTCTCACAGACAAGGTCATCTATATCCCCCACAGTTTAACAATCATCTAGACAATCACTGTCAATAATTCCAAAATTCTGTCTCCATTAAAGACTCTCAGGTGAGCTCCAGATCTCTATCATCGCCACCTTTTATCATCTCCATTCAGGTGTTTCTGTCTCTGAGACTCTTCAGGAGGGACCTCTCCCTCCCAGGTCTGGCTGAACTCTTTCCAGCTTTCCTGTCTTCCCTGACACACCTCCTATTTCCCCTTCCCAGCTTCCTTTTCCCTTCATCAAGCCCATCTGCTTGGATACCTCTTGCCACTAGCCCAGGAGATGAGACTTCATTCAATATGGTTCTGAAGGAAGGCAGATACATTATGCTGGTGAATTTAGGAAGCCAGAAGGCTCTGTTGGAGGCAATTTGGCAGGGTGACCTAATTTGGATATTTTTCTAAGGAAAAACGATAGTTAAAAAAAAAAAAAGATAGTAAAATGTAAAGTAAGCTTGCTTTTCTTCCTTGACTAATGGTGGTCTTCCCTGGCGCCCTGACTGAGGGCTTGCCCAAGCTGTGTTTCTTCCCTAAACAAGAACAGAATAAAAATAGCTGGGGGCTAATCTAAGAGATACCAGCGTGGAGTCTCAACAGTTGTCAGGAATGAAAGGCTGCAGGCTGGAGTGAGGGAGAGTTGGGGTGTTAACCCCCACCACTCCCACCCACCCCAGTCCCCAAGAGTAGAGCCTGAGGGCCTGAAGTATTGGTCAACTTGCATTTTCAATGGGCTACAATACACAGGGCCCCAGATCTGCCCTTTGGTGGCAGAGAGGCCTGGGTTCTAGTTGCAGTCTTCCTGGCCATATATCCCTGAGTGGGGATCACCCCTCTTGTTTTCTCATCTGGAACGCAGGGACATTCAACAGCATTGACCTCTTAGGTGTGCTGGGAGATTAAAGAACAAAACTCACCCAAGAGCTCACAGGTCACCCTGATGACCACTGCCTTCATTCCCAGAAGAACATGGAGTGACCTCATTCTCCTTTCTCTTTGGGGCTTTATTTTGGAGGAAATGGTGGTTTAGTAAAGATGTTGCTGGGATTGGCACGGAATCAGGCCCAAGGATAGAGTAAAGTTTCTCAAATGGCAGAAAGCTGAGTGGGGCAGAACAGGTGGTGGCAAATTGGTCATCTTTCCCAAACCATCCAGGGGGAGAAGAAAAAAAGTCAATGGGAAAAATTAGCTCAATATAAAATGTTTTTTGCTATTATTAAATCTTTGCTTCCTGACCTCCCCCCACCCCCGCCCCAGGCAGTCTGGCTCACTGGCAAAAAATGCTCCTAGATAAAATGAATCAATAAAGTAGCAAATGGGGCAGCCCGGGTGGGTCAGCGGTTTTGCACCCCCTGATCCTGGAGACCTAGGATTGAGTCCTATGTCAGGCTCCCTGCATAGAGCCTGCTTCTCCCTCTGCCTGTGTCTCTGCCTCTCTGTGTGTCTCTCATGAATAAATAAATAAAATCTTAGAAAAAAAAAAGTAGCAAATGAGTATGGACTGGAAAATGAGGAAATGGTGAATCAATTTTAATCTGTTTGACTGGTATGAAAAACAGGAGGGCTCCTGATAGAAATGTCATAGTTTCTAAGAAAGGAGTTCTTAGTTTGCAAGAGATGGCTCTGCCATTGCATTCTCTGCCATTACCTGAACAGATTTGTAAACCAGTGGATTCAAGGACCAAGGGGCGGTGTGTTGTTAGACTGCAAGCTCCCGGCTACCTTGCTGAATGACCTTAATCCACTTCACCCCCAATCCATTCCAGAATTATGCTGCATAGGTGCTTCAGCTGCCCTCTGTGTTGGGCACTAAGGACAGAAGAGTAAGATTCCACCTGTCTTGTGGAGCCCACAGCCTGTTGGAGACAGACCTGGAGCTAGATAGTTCCCCTAGAGAATGGTAAGTGTCCTAAAGAGAGGCCCAGGGGTCCTGGGGAGCACAAAGTGACTACTTTTTTAGACTGTTTAGAAGCAACAAAATGGTAGTCAAAATAAAATTAATAATCAATTATAATGAGGTCCAAAAGCAGCTCTTGGTGAGATTTCAGTAGGTGGTGATGTTAATTTACTGAGTGCTTACTGTGTGCCAGGCACTGTGCATTATTTCACTTAATTCATGAATTCTACCAATAGTTTTATTACAGCTGAGGCAGTTATGACCCGGAAAGGTCCAGAAATACACCCAAAGCCACACAGCTAGTAACTAGGGTTCAAACCCAGACCTCTAGGCTCAAGAGTCTCTGGATTCTCCCAACAGTAGGAATAAGAGGCCAATAAAGTTCTGGGGGCAGAGGTTCCTCAATGCAGACACCACCCAGCAACTGTAATGATCTAAAGGGGAGGGTGGAGATGGTGGAGTTGAGGGTGCAGGATTAACAGATCCCTGTGTGAGGATGCCTGCTGAGCTTGGTCAGCACTGGGGCTTCAGGAACGACACAGCCACAGGAGCAAAAAGAAGGAATTCACTGTCACCTAGTGGTAAGGTCTTTAGACACAGCTGAATCTAGGTGCTCTAACAGAAATGTGAGGAACTGGTCTCCTTTGATCTCTCCCGTTTCCCTCCACGTACCTTTCTTCTGAGGTGGACTCTGACCAGGTAGCAGGTTTCCCCCTTCCTCCATGGGCAACTTCAGATTTATATCCACTCAGCTTGGAGTCCCTGAAAAGCCTTTCCCCTAAGAGTTCCTGAAAATACCTCAGTGGGTCCCTGCACTAGTCCCTGTGGCCCAGGGAGCCAGGATGTCCTGATTGGTCAGGCCCTGGTCACATGCCCAGCATGGGCATTGAGTCAGCCCTGCTTGAACCAACCACAGAGTCGAGGGTGAGAGGGGGTGGTTCCTGCAAGGAAATAAGGGCCCTTAGGCTGCCTTTTGCTAGAACAGTGGTGTGACCACAGCAGGCTGTATGAAGGCCAGGGCTTACTTCCTTTGTAGGAAGGACCATACTTTTGCCAGTGGATTCTCTTATTATGAAAACAATATATGTTCATTGCAGGGAATTTAGAAAACATAAACCGCACAAACACCTACTTCCAAAGATACACATTTATAATCTGATCTAGAGAGAATAGCCAGAAGCATTTGGGAATGGATGCTGTATCTTTTTTCCTTAATTTTCTACCTTCAACAAGTATGGGATCATGTTGTATATCCTGTCTTTTTAAATTAAAAAAATAGTTGATCGAGATATAATTTATAATAGACTTCACTATTAAATTGTACAGTTTGATTATGTTTGTCATGTGTACCACCACAGTGAAGGTAATGAGCACATCCATTACCCCCAAAAATGTCCAAGTGACCCTTTGTAATCTTTAGTATATGTGCTACTGAAATGAACACATGAGCTTTTGTAATCTGTTTGCCACCACTGCTCCCCTACCACTCCTGTGCTTTCTCCAGGTGACCACTGATATGCTTTCTATCACTATAGATTAGATTGGACTTTTTAAATCACTTTATATAAATGGATCATATCATATATAGTATGTGGGGCTTTTGGCTTTTTTCTCTCAGTATAATTATTGGCCTTTTACCTCAGTATAATTATTTTGAGGTTTATTTGTGTTGTTAAATGTGTCAATAGTTCTTTTCGTTGTTGAGTACTATCCTATTATTATGAATGTGTTGCAGTTTGTTTATCTGAGCTGGATAATGGACTTGCACACCCATGTTCATAGCGGCATTACTCACAGTAGCCTAGAAGTGGAAGGAACCCCAGTGTCCCATCAGTGGATGAATGGATAAACAAAATGCAGTTATACACACAGTGGAATATTACTAAGCCTTAAAAAGGAATGAAATTCTACCACATGCTACGTGGATGTCGTACTTTGATGACATAATACTGAGTGAAATAAGCCAGACACAAGAGGACAAATATTGTATGATCTCCCCTATACAAGGCACCTTTTGTAATCAAATTCATAGAGACAGAGTAGAGGGGTGTGGCTGTTTGTGGAGGGGAGACTAAGAAGGGACAATGAGGAGTTGCAGTTTATTTATTTTTATTTTTTTTATTATTTTTATTTTTATTTATTTATGATAGTCACACAGAGAGAGAGAGAGAGAGAGAGAGAGAGGCAGAGACACAGGCAGAGGGAGAAGCAGGCTCCATGCACCGGGAGCCCGACGTGGGATTCGATCCCGGGTCTCCAGGATCACGCCCTGGGCCAAAGGCAGGCGCTAAACCGCTGCGCCACCCAGGGATCCCAGGAGTTGCAGTTTAATGCTTAATTGGGACAGTTTCAAGTTAGGATGACTCAGTTTAGGAAGAGTTCTGGAGATGGATGGTAGTGCTAAATGCCACTGATTGTATACTCAAAAAGGGCTAAAATGATAAATTTTGATGTATATTTTACCACACAAAAAGATTATTTTAAAGGAGAGAATAGATTTCCCAGCAACCCACTGGAGTGGCTCCAGATCTAAAGGAGAGCTATTGGAGCCTGGGGCATTCTGAGCCTGAGCCCTGAACAAGTCCTGACTCCAAACACTCATGGTCCTAGCACTGTGTCCCCCAACTCTGCTCTTCTCTGGGACATTTCATCCTCTCAACCTGTTCTTGGCAGGACACGTGACCATTCACTGCTCTGGGATTTAAGAAGACAGAACTTTCCCACATTTAGTAAGAAAGATACTAGGGAAGGATTCGTGGAGCGCAGACACCAGAAACCTCAAAGTCATGTTCAAAACTCCCCTTTTCCTCCCCATGTTATTACCTCCTAGAGTGTGGCCATTCTTTTCCAAAGTGAACTTTCCTTTGGCTCTCCCTTTTCCTACTGCCCCAACTGGACTTGGGCTGGCTTATTGCAATAACTTTCTTTTGGGGGCGGGGGTAGGGAGGGTAGAGGGAGAGAGAATCTTAAGCAGTCTCCATGCCCAGTGCAGAGCCTGACTCAGGGTTCTATATCAATCTCATGACCCTGAGATCATAACCTGAGCCAAAATCAAGGGTCGGATGCTTAACCAACTGAGCCACCAAGGTGTCCCATGCAATAACTTTCTGAATGGTCTCCCTACCCTAGGCTGTAAGTGATGGGCTTATTTAAGGTGAAGAAACAGCACATTTCAAGAATGTGAGGATGAATGGAGAGGTAAGTAGGCAAGATCATGGAGGAGGTGAGGGGAGAGGGTTCACTTTGGGAAGAGGATTCAGGTTCCCTTGAATGTAAGAACATTTCGAGAGAGTGTGTATATGTGTGGAGACATCTGCTATCTCTGGTTTCTCCTTCATGAGGGTTCAAGGTAAGGTTAGGGGTGCTGAGAAGATGGACAAGACAAGGTCTCTTAGGGTGGTGGGTAGGATGACTGGTAGTGTTGGAGCCTTGCAGAGGTTCTGGGAACTTTGGTTCAGGAAACCACTGTGCAATTGCTTTAAAAGATGTTTGCAAATTTCTTGACATTCTTCCCATCAAAATGTGTAATCTAAGTCCTCTCCCCTTGAATATGGGCTGACTTAAGTGACATGCTTCTAATAACAGACTGCTGTGGAAGTGATGCTGTGTGACATCTGAGACTAACTAGATCATAAGACAATATAGCATCCATCTGGCTCTCTCTCAGGACACTCACCCTTATAATCCAGCCGCCATGCTGTGAAGACACCCAGGCTGTGGGCAGCTCAGGTGGCTCAGTGGTTTAGTGCCGCCTTCAGCCCAGGGTGTGATCCTGGAGACCTGGGATCAAGTCCCACGTCGGGCTCCCTGCGTGGAGCCTGCTTCTGCCTCTGCCTGTGTCTCTGCCTCTCTCTCTCTCTCTGTCTCATGAAGAAGAAAGGAAAGGAAAGGAAAGGAAAGGAAAGGAAAGGAAAGGAAAGGAAAGGAAAGGAAAGGAAAGGAAAGGAAAGGAAAAAGGGGAAAGGGGACACGCCCAGGTCGAACAAGGAGGCCACCTGCTAGTGTTGGAGCCCACCTGAGGTTTCCGTTGACAGCCAGCATCAAATGCCGGGCATGTGAATGATGAGGGCTTCAAAATGACTCTGCACCAGCCGCCATCTTACTGCAACCATGTGAGCATGAGAGGCCCCAAGGAAGAAATGCCTGGCTGTACCCCACAGATCCCCAGAACACAAATAACAATGGCCAAGTTGTTGTTTGGCGCCACTGTGTTTGGGATGATTTGTTATACAGCAGTAGATAGTTGGAGCATGCTACCAGACTGCCCTCAGAACATCAGCTCCTGGGGTTGGCATTGTCCTTATTGAATGAAAATTCTTTTTTTTATGGTAAAGTGATTCATTT